TAATGTTACATTCAACGCAGTTAGCTTCTGCAGCTAGTTACTGCAGTAGATAGCTGGCTAGCTTGAAGATTTGTCGTTCAGGGCAATTCATTATAACAGACTGTTAATATCAAACATTACACATACTAATGGCCTCTATCCTTCAAACAGCATAGAGGTACTTACGAATTACACTCCAAACTCGACATGTTGACTGTATTCTGGTAGTCGCAAAAACATAGCCTACTTGTCACCGTGATCCGCTCAAAATAGAAAGTGAAAGGACAGAAGGACGGTCAAAAGACACCTCAATCTAATTTTTTTTTAAAATATTGTAAAAACAATATCCAACCTCACAGTTTCATCCCACACTCATAATTACGTTTTTTAATTTTTCCAACAAAAAAAATGCAACATGAGCCAGCTCAATTAATAAACCAAATGGGCATGCAAATCAGATTAGACCTAATTAAACCCCCATTTCCTGCTGTTGCCTTCTTTTTACAGACTGGCAGAGTGACAGGGAGTTTAAGCATCCGTGTAGATGAAGGGGAAGTGGGAAGGACAGCTCCATATGCGTTAAGTCAGCCCGGGGGGACAGCTGGGTCCGACTGTCTTTTTCTGCCACACTCATTTGGCCCCAGCAATCATCCTGTCTTGTGCTAAAGGTCTCTCGTCGCTACAAGGCTCCTTGGCACTATCTGGGAGCTACAGACGAAGAATATGCTGATTAAACATGCCTTCATTAAAGCGATTACATGCAGAAGGCGGTTCAATTTCCCACGGGCAGCCAAATAATGATGAGGGGGGAAGAAGACGGAGAAGGGTTCACGGAGGAGAGGAGGGGGTAAATTGACTATGGCTGCTTGTTAGCGTTAATTTAAGTTACCCACACACAGTCTTTAAAGACTGACTAACAGTCTTCTTAGACTTAATATGTTGTGTGAGCTGCACTCTCCTCCCGGGGACAGCCAGCTCTCTGCCCTTACGAACACCCCTACCTGACTCACCACACCTACAGGCCACTTCCAGGTCATCGAGCTTCCACCGCAGAAGACCTTGCCAAAGACGCAGGAGAGACGTTACTTCTGGTTCATTAAATAAAGCCGGACAGTGTTTTAGTGCCTGAATGAGCTGTAGAAGATGTGGTGGCAGGCGAGAAGGAAAGGAAAGAGTTAAAGTCGTTATGAAGGCCGAATGAACATCAGCAGCTTTCAGGCATTCTTCAGTTTTGTCCTTTTCTGAGTTTCTTTTTTGAAGGACAAACAAGATATTTTTCTGAATATTAATGAAAGCTATAATTAATTACTTCGGCAATTACAGAAAAATCCAAATGTTTTACATCACTATTTTCTTTGAAAAATGTCTTACTTCTTACTAACTCATCCTGACCACAAGATAATTGATTTTGCAATACACCTTACTCTCGTTGTGTCAGCAGTCCTGGTCAGTTCCAGATAATTGAATGCTCTGTAAAACAGGATGATTCATCATAACTGAAAACAACCACATGCTTTGTTGAGATTATAGACTGTCTTATAAATGGCACACTACTACAGTTCAATGTGCCAAATTCAATTATTCCTCCCACAGTGCACTTCACCTGCCTTCAGTCTGTCTCTCTTGGGCACAGCCGGCAGCCTTCACGCACCCCAGTGATGTGCTAATAGTGAAGAACAGAAGAAGAGTCTTTAAATGTCTCAGCCAGAGGCGCTCTTTGTCCCGCTGTAGGTGATTGCACCTCCTCTATTGCTTTCATGCATTTTTATTTTATTTTCTTGTTGCAGCTTTTGTGCTTTATTACCCTACTGTCAACCTGAATCACACCAGCACTCAAAGAAAGTGACAAAATTGCAAGTATGAGGTGTTTGAACTGTGTATTCTGGTGCATAGCGGCATGTAATCATGTGCATGCGAGCAAAAATAATTGTTCAGCGCCTCGGAGCCAATTAGGGGTCTCAAATAGGAAAGTCACATTTATCAGAATCAGAAGCTAATTTTGTCAAACCACACGCGATAAGAGGTTGTTACTTTAGTGACCTTTAGTGAAGTGGATGAGGTCACTCTGAAACTGGAACTGACCACTGCGTGATACTTTTTCTGTTTCCCTGAAACTACTTCTGTTTCTCTGTTTCCCCTGATATTTCTTCTGACTGACACCGGCACATCAGACCACTGTTTCAATGGGAGGAGCCCGGCCCAAAGTGACCGCTGTATAACAGCTGCTCAACCTACAGTACAGCTCCCAGAATCTGAGGAAGAGCACAAGATGTGGCTCATGTTGCTTCAGATATTCTTAAAAACTAGCTTGAAGGAACAGAAGAATACAGCAGCTGTCGTGAGAGCTAATGTAACTGGTTAACCTGATTTATTTATCCTTTATATTTTCACATAAGATGTGCGTTGGTGCAAAAGTGATGACAAAGGCTAAAAGGTCAACATGCTCAATGAGGGAAATCCCCATTTTCACTTTCACTACAATGATAGTTTACTTGTATCTTAAACAGAGTATTTCATTATACTGATGAGATATGTATCACTACAAAGCCAATGTAACCATCATATACACAATAAAGCATGCATTTCTGTCAGCATCCCTGTTGAAATCTATCTTTCAAAATAAAGGCCTCTGATTGCGTCATGGCCTACCAGAGAGTTACCAAAGACAACTCAACAAAATAACAAAAGTAGCAATGTCAAGGCAGCAAAAATACTGATAAGTTAACTCCAGAAATCTGTTAGAGAGCCAGGTTACACTGAGATAGCACTGAGCATTTGATTCCTAGTTCTTTGGAATTGTTAGTTGTTTGTCGCTTTGGACAGTAAAGTTAGCCATAGCCATTATGCTAAAGTTCTATGAGCTAGTCAAAAGATCTTCTTGTTTATATCAAGATCAACGGACGGTCTCTGTTGAGCAGTTTGTTTGGAAACAATGCAGTACATCCTGTGTTGTTAGTAGCTCTGGGGAAAACAGAAATAAATCTGGTTGTGTTTGGGACAGTGGCACCAACAACAATACAATTTGAAAATGCTAGTGAACAGTTATCTGTTTCCACTTATTACCCATAAGTGGAAACAGATACTGCTCAGCCTGTGAAAACAGTTGTAAAATCTCTTAAGTCTTCCACAAGTCTGAGAAAAATAACCCAGGTGATGTCATGGTGATGTCATCTAAATTTCTCAGCATTGGATTGAGAGTTTTTATTATTAAACTGTAAAATGTCAATCCAATTCTACACAAAACAATCTCACCGTAAGAACAAAAATCCAGTCATTACCTCATTATCCCCGGCATGTGTCCGTTGACAGACCTCATGTCATATGTTCATATTAACGCACACTGTCAGAGCAAAAAACAGGAGGAAATATAGTTAAAATTGTTGTTTTTCCAACAGAGTAATAGTGTGATACTCCTATTATGAGCAAAAGTCTGGGATTGCTTAAGTTGTACCAGTATGTTTAATGTTACATCTGTTTGTCTTAGGACTAGTGAGAACATAATAACTTAAGTACTAGATTTACGTAAGATGGATAAGGTGCTAAAATAAAGATTACAAAAAACGCAAACACATGAGACCTGAGGATAGGTGCAAGCAGCAGGCTGGAAACTCAAACTAGACGATGCGAACGTGCGTAGGCGCATGGCCCTCTGGGAAGTGATTCAGAGGTCATTACCATATTGAGAACACAAAGACGTCTTTCTATCAAACAGGTGTTCAGTCCAGGGGGACATGTCAGTACTCTCGCATACCTTGAAGGCTCCATCAATTGTTATTAAATTCTACCGCAACCATTCAGTTCAGTCCGCCAAATAAAAACAAGACAATAAAACAGAAGGGAAGAAAAGCATACAGTGAAGTCTAATAGGACATTAGCTACTACTACCTTTTGTTTTTTAATAATACAGCATTGTAATGTACAATAATAAAATTTACAGTTTATTTGTGTAGACTTTATGACCTTAGTTGTAGACTAGTACAATAGTAGAATGTAAGAGTACATTTATTTAAGTACTGAACTTGAGCACAATTGTGAGGTACTGTAATTGAGTACTTCACCACTCTATGCTTTAAACTTCTACTCCACCACATATTGAATGTAAATATGGTACCACTATATATTATAACTTTGCTGTTTCAGATCCTTTCTACAAATGATAACTCAATTAATAAATACAACTATATGATAAGATACCCAGTGGTGTGACGGAAATCAAATTAGTACCAGCTTCAACATTTATTATTGCATCACTTATCACAATTCAGTAATATTATATTATATGTATATACTATTTAGAGCTGGGGAAGACCAGTTCAATCCCACCTTGACCGCCATTGTCCTTGGGCCCTTCACCCTAAAGTGCTCCTGTGGGTTTTGTCCCCAGTATTGATGTATTAAATGTCTGATATATTAAATGTAAAGCGCTTTGAGCACTTGTAAAAGCGCACAAATAAATGCAATGAATATTATTATTATTATTATATGTTTAGAATGTTCAGTTCTGCATAATGAATAGTTATATAATAATAATGCTTTTATTCGTCTGCATGAGTTAGTTTTAACGTATGACTTGTGGCAAAGTATTTTTTACATGTGTGGCTCTTCTTGAGAAAAATATCTTTATACTTCTTCCAGCACTGGCCTGGTAAGATAATCTATCTATTAATAGTAGCCTACCATAGATTTAATCACATGAATACAGTTCTGTCTGATACCCCGAGCATACGTCTATCTTTGCCAGACACCCATTATGCTTCATGCCTTTTTTTGAAGACATCACGCCCAAGAGTTTAGCCACCTACCATCCTCTCCCTGCCTGCAGGGCGGAGGAGCAGCAGTGCGCCTCCTCCGCCTCCCTCATACCGGAGAGCTGGAAGCGCGCCAGGATGGGATTGGCTTCCCGCTCCTGTGGGGAGGAACTGGTGCGCCAGGATACCCAAATATGGACTGTCCGATCTCAGGTTGGATCGCATGACTCAGCACCAGACTATATAGCCTATCCTTACCTTGGGATTGTTGTGAAGAATAAAAAAGCTATAAGGGTTGTTGAACTGTTTTAGGTGTTCCAGAAAACAACGCTTTGTTTTTTTTGATTGTTTTGAGCTTTGAGACACATTCCGACTGACTTGTTAATATATGGTAATGAGTGTAGATGAGCACTTGAATCAACTGTATATGTTTCCTGGGTTGAATTTCCCTCACGCCAAGCAGCACTCGTCTTGTTTACAGTCCTTGTTCCTGGCAACAACGTCATCAAGTGTGCCTGACATCCCGGAGGCGGGGTCACAGACGAAAAGGCCAATCAGAGAGCTGAGCGGAGCGCATGTTCAGCCCTACACTGTGTGGCTTTGCTGGATGATATAAGTAGAGTGGAGCGCAACGGGCGCCTGTCATTACAGAGGAAACACAAGTGGAGCTCAGTTTCAGAGCAAAGGGACTCTCCTACACACGAGTGGAATCAAAACATCTGAATTAGTCACTGGACTCCGCTTTGAATTCAACCTAAGGTACAAAACGACGACTTGGTACAGTACAGTTCCACTATTTTGGAAGTTTTGCTCTGTTTTTGATAGCTTTGGTCTTCAGTATAATAACACAGCGGGACTTTGTGCTGGAATCAATTGGGACACTAAAAGCCTCGGTGTCCAAGCAAGCAACTTTGCAGCGAACTCTTGTATTTGACTGTGTGAATTTGAAATATGTCCACAATAATGGAACAGCCTTTTTATGACGACTCGTTTCTCTCTGCTTATGGCCATCCAGGCGCAGCCCTGCCAGACTACAAGCTGCTAAAGCAGAATATGAACTTGAACTTCTCCGATTCATATCGGAACTCAAACTTCAAGTCGCAGCACCTGCGCAACGACGGTGATTTCTATTCGGCCGGGTCAGCGGACGTGGGCTCGCTGAAGCTCGCCTCTCCGGAACTGGAGCGCCTGATCATCCAAAACAGCAACGGGGTGATCACAACCACACCGACACCTGCCCAGTTCCTCTACAACCGCAGCATCACAGAGGAGCAGGAAGGCTTCGCTGAAGGTTTTGTTAAAGCCTTGGACGACCTGCACAAAATGAACCACATGGCTCCTCCAAACGTTTCAATCAGCGGCGTCTCCTGTGGCGTCCCCGGCGGCGTGGTGTGCTCGGCTCCAGCCTCGGTGTTCGGCTCATCCATGCAGCAGGACGGGCTCGAGTACACCACACTGAGCAGCTGCACCACGAACCCCAGTCTGTCATCTGGAGGCAGCTATCCCTCCACCACCATCAGCTACCTGCCACCGCACCACCAGTACCACCACCACCAGCACCCCCAGGCCATGGCGCACGCATCGCACCATTTCCAGCACTCTCTGGCCGGCGCGGGCATCCACTCGCAGCGGTACAGCGGCTTGAAAGAAGAGCCTCAGACGGTGCCTGACATGCTGAGCAGCGATTGCTCTCCACCAATGTCTCCCATCGATATGGAGAACCAGGACCGCATGAAAACGGAGCGCAAGCGGCTGAGGAACCGGCTGGCAGCGTCAAAGTGTCGGAGGCGCAAACTGGAGCGCATCTCCCGCCTGGAGGACAAGGTGAAGGTGCTGAAAACTGACAACGCAGGACTGTCAAGCACGGCGTCAGTACTGAGGGACCAGGTGGCCCAGCTCAAACAGAAAGTCATGACACATGTGAGCAGTGGCTGCCAGCTCATGTTGGCGCCCAAAGTGAAGTCCTATTGAAGAAACAATGCACTTTAAACAACAAAAAACACTGGACAAACTGCACTGACAATGGACAATGTCAACCTTTTCTGTACGAAAGAACTGGACCATGATGGTTTATATGGCTGATGGAGAAGCAGCACAAATCTAAAGACTAAAACACTTAGGGGCATTTTTAAATACTCTTTTTTATTTTAAAGATGTCGTCTTGGCTTTGCCTGTTTACATTTTACTTTAATTGCGATCTGTGATACATTCTTATGTAACTTATTTGTGTTCCTCAGGTTGAGCCTGTGTTTTTTTTTTTTTACTTGTACAGTATATATTTAAGTAAATGAAATTATGAAACTAAGAAGTATGTGGTGTTGTTTCTTATTGGGGTTATTTAAAACAGTAATCTCACTGTTATCAATGGTCTTTTTCTGGGCAGCAGTTCAGTTCAGAGCAGCAGCAGTTGCTTGACGTTGGAAACGTCCCTGCGTAGGATTGTTTGCCCATTGACGTACATACGTCAGTCCATATATGGTCAATTTTGCTGACAAACGTCACAGACCGAGAAGGTTTCCGGGAACTCCCTCCTACACTGCCCGTCAGTAAAGCTGCGCTCTCCCCTTCACACCGCAGTGTGTGCGTGTGAGTGTGTGGGTTTAAATGAAGGTTTGTCAATGGGTGGTTTATTAAAAGTTAAGGGAGTTCCCCCCCCATTCTGCTTTCAATTTCCCAAAACAAGCCCTGAGAACACTAGCTCAAGGAAAATGGTTGAAAGATAAGTTCCAGACAAACAGCAGAGTAGACTTTGTCTGGTTAACAGCTACGTTTAAATGTAAAAAAAACTAACCAATGTTGTAAGATAAAAAAAAAGAAGGAATTTATCTAGTAGATACAGCTTACTGCTTAAACTCAAATCCCATATAACTCCATGAATGAGAAATAGATGGTATCATACTATGACAGATTCATTTTATCCTCAAAAAAGTGACGCAGGCCCCAAATCCAATATTTCCCAATGCACCACAGAGCCATTTGTCAATGCGGGGGGGGGGTTTCCTGAGTCAAACACAATAACTCCAACATTTACCAAGACTTCACAGCTTGTGACGTACTCAGATCCTCAGTCACGCACCGAGCCCAGTACTGATCACAAGTTAATCACAGAAATGTCTGTTGGCATTTGTCTTCCAAGTTGTAAAGTCACCAAACAAGTAGGCACCAAAGAAGAGATTCAGGTAGAAATCTGGCACTACCCAGCGGTCACAATTGGAATTACATTCACAAAATGACAAAACACACAAGTCATAGTTTTCCCACTAGTTTTAATAAAGATGGTAGCAAATTATTAAACTCCAGCAAAGAAAAATATTAATATTTTTTTCTGAAAAAGGAACTATATTTTCAGTGCTTGAGACTATGAGGTCATCCCCACCTATTGTACACTGGACGTACAAAGATAAAGATTTGCAAGCAAAAGATTTATCCAACACGTTTTGAAATCTCGTTTTGTTGAATACATGAGTTTGGACGCCATGAAATACTGCTTCACAGGGACACCTCTCATCTGAAGGCAAGTGCTTTGATAGGAAGTCTGCGAGGAGACCTTCCCGTTTACTGCTTGGAGAAGTAGGTTTTGCTTTTCTCCACGTCAGGGATGATGGTGTCGCTACCGGGTGTCCAGCCAGCGGGGCACACTGCGGGGGAAGGGAGAAGGGACAAAGTTTAGCACAAGGCGTAAGAAATGGACATTGAACTTTGTATAGGACAAAGAACATGTGTGATTACCCCAGAGGTTAGGCTAATAATGCAAGGCAAACATCCTGTCTGATTACAGTTTACCTATCTTAAAAGAAAATCTAAGATGTTACATGCTAGCTGTGAGATGTGCCATACAAAGTGTTTAAATAAAGTATCTTTTACTCATGCATTGATACTGCATTTTATAGTACATATTAACTCGTTTTCATATTTATGCTATTCCTTCATTTAAAAAACTTACTTTTAGATCCTATTTTCAGCATTATTATTTACAGAAATATAATTTCGGTTTCCCCTCACATTTTCATTATTTGTTTATATTTTAGCCTATTGCAGATATTTGTAAAAAACATGTTCTTAGATTTATATACCTTTTATATTATTAACTTATAATAATGGGAGCAGCATTATTGTAGCATAACTGTAACAAAGCCAATTTCCCCCTACAGTTGAATACATGTTTACATTTAGTGAAAAACACATTTCTATTAGATTCAAAATGAAATACAAGAGAACAAAACTAAAATCTTAAAACAGAACATAACCAAATATATGTTGCTGAAAAACAGTTACTAATTACATTTTTATGAGCTGATGGTTAGCCTTCAAGGCTATTTATAAAGTAAGGTACAATTCATTGTTTTACAAACACGACTGTATATTTCTATGCAATATTAGAGTGAAAGAATAACATTAACTGATGCCATAACATCAAACGGGGATATACACACTACACAGGGACTGCTCTCACCCTCTCCATATTTGTCAGTGTGCTGGAAGGCCTGGACCAGGCGCAGAGTCTCGTCCACAGAGCGGCCCACGGGCAGGTCATTGATGGTGATCTGCCTCAGGATGCCCTTGTCGTCGATCACAAACAGACCCCTGAGAAGCGTAAGAGGAGGTTAAAGTATAGCACAGCAGATATTCCTGTTCTTTGGTAACTTGTGACCCGAGCTGCCCAAACTTAAGCAGAAATGCTTTTTTTTTTATGGGGGCTAAAATAAAATGTTGCTGCTGTACCTGTCGAATTCAGTACATTGTTTTACATCCGTGTTAGTTCTCCTGTCAGTTTCCTCCAAACTGGGGGCTAGCAACCGTCACGACTATGGATATACATTTCCAATAATGCAAACCATCCCTTTAAGTCCTTATGAGCCATTATACAGCAGAATTAGTATTATAATAGTGGTGCAATGATGACATATCTTGGTAGGCAGACCCAAAAGTTAGCCTCACAAGGGCTCCCTTCCCCAAAAAAAAGGTACTGGATCTTTCCAAATTGGATTTAGGTATTTTGCAGAACAAAATAAGATCTGTGGTAAACAAACATTTATAAAACACATGTGCTGTGTTCAGCAGGATCATTTCCACATATTTACATAACTTTTATCATTTTTAAGTGTAAATCTGTAGAAGTAAAAATCTAATGTTAGGCTATAATCAAACTACATCTCGTTTGCAAGGCTGCGCATAACCAATGCTAAGCTAAAGACGGCTAATGTTCAGCATGATGATGTTTGGTCGTCTTATCTAGTCGCTTGTTAGCAACTGCTGTTTTTATGACACATAGAAGCTTTGGACATTGACAGTGGGGTGATTATTAACATATTTTATTTCATATTGGGAAATGTGAAAATCCTTTCAGCTTTTGTTAACCAAAGTCCTAAATTCAGGCATCTAACCTATAACACTTTAAAAAAAAAAACAATAGTTTACTTTGAGATAAGGGAACCAGAAGTGGTAAAATGTCAACTCATTCAAGGCTTAAGGACTCACTCCTGCACCACTTTATTAGACTAAGCCCCCTCGCACAATGTCCCCTGGCCTTTTGTTTGAAAGATTTAAGCCTTTTTCCTGACCTGTATGCAATGCCATCGTCCTGCTTCAGCACACCATAGTCTTTGGAGATGGTCTTGTTGAGGTCTGCCACGAGGGGGATTTTCATGTTACCCAGACCTCCCTGCTTCCTTGGTGTGTTGATCCTGTAGGGAGAAAATATAAAGAACCCAAATATGGGCCACAAACATTTAAAAAAAATTGAACTCCAAATTTAGACCCAGGGCAGAGACCGTTAACTCGGAACTTATCAACACCGTGCAGAGAAGCCCAGTGACAGGAGATAAACTGGGGAGGGTGTTGCTACAGGACTGCCAAAAACAGTTATTACAGACTTATAAGATTTAGCAAATTAGGGACCTCCTTTTCTTAGTCATGTAGTAATTTGACATTTTTTGTATTAAGTATATAACAGTCAACCTGCAAACAGCAACTCTGCTTACCCCGTGTTGACTGCATGGTTGATATTTCATAACTGTTATTTTCACTGCATACAATCACGTGGATTACTGTTGAGCTTTAAAGCCACAATATACTTTCAGTTAGGACGAATTCTCACCAGGCCAAGTGACTGAAGTGAGAGTCTACGGAGCAGCCGATAACCTCGCAGCCGAGTTTGCGGAACTCCTCTGCCCTGTCGCTGAAGGCGATGATCTCAGTGGGACACACAAATGTGAAGTCCAGGGGGTAGAAGAAGAAGATTACATACTTCCCTGCAGAGCATGGGAGGAAAAGATGAGACACGTGTTAACACTGATCATCTCATATTAAGATGACTTAATTTTTTTTTACGATTAACAAACTTTAAAACTAGGGTCAAGAAAGAGTGGACTCACATATACTGCATAAACAATAATCAGATATAGCGACACAGTCAAAGTTAGGAGTAGTAGAAAGTAACTAAGTTCACTTACTCAAGTACTTTAATTTCACACTTCATAACCTTTTGGAAGCAAATATTGTACTTTTTACTAACTACTAGGGGTGTAACGGTTCACAAACATTTCGGTTCGGTACGTACCTCGGTTTTTAGGTCACGGTTCGGTACAGCAGAAAAAATTATCACAAAACATAAAATATATTTTGGTTTTTTTTAATTATTATTTAACTATGAATAATGTATTCACTCAAATACAAAATATAAAATAAAATAAACATTAAGGTGCAGCATTTCGATGAACTGAAATAATCTGTATTTGAACTGTACTAGCACCTAAGCAGCCAGTTTGACATTATGACTTGCTTGTCATTGTATTTTCATGTTTTTTTAAAGAAAAATTAACTAGTCCACATTGCTTGCCGAAAGGGCAGATCTGCTGGCACTAACAATGTCTCCTGCTGTGGAGGACACCCTCTCGCTAGGGACAGAGGTAGCAGATACAGCCAGGTAGCGCTTTGCTAACATGGCAACATAAGGATATTTGGCGTTTGTAATAGCTTTGGCTCGGTCTGAACTTTTTGCGAGTGGTGGAGGCTTAAATGCTAGCGAGAGTTGGGTTTGCACTTCAGTCTTTTGGTACCGGTGATATTCACGTTCGGGTGATGCCTTTTCAAATGAGTGTGCAAGTTTGATGTATTGCCAGCCGCGTAACCAATTTTAGTTGAACAATGCCAACAAACAGCTTTGGTTCGGTCCACCGGTCTTTGTCCGTCATCCTTGTACGTAACTGCGAAACCAAAATGTTCCCAAACCGGAGACTTCAATGATGCTGGAGGATTTTCGAGCTCAACTTTATCTGCGGTCGCCATTTCGACAGTTCCTCAAATTACTGACTAAATTTGAACGCATCCCTGTGACCAGCTCTCATAGTATGCCTCTCGTCCAATGAAATGACTTGCTCTATGACGCGTTGAACCCAATGTGAGCAAATTACTCTGAATGCTGCAACGCAGCACCTGAGATTACTTCCAAAAAGTTGTTCACGTTCTCAATTTTTTACGTTTAACGTTATATTCGTACCGAAGGGCCGTAACCGAATTATTTCGGGACGGGTACCGTTACACCCCTACTAACTACATAGGTTCCCTTTAAAGTGTCATATTGTAATAAAAAATGTAGATCAACTAATGAATTATAATTAGGGCCGGGACTTTAACGTGTTAATTAAGATTAATTACACAAACATGAACGCGTTAAAAAAATTAACGCATTTTAATCGCACTTATTTTTGCCCTGCGGAACGTTTCTCACTGGATGAGTTTCAGGCGTACCGATTATACTGGAGCACCAACTAACGTTCATGACTTCAGACAACAACAAACCACAGTGAACAATAGTCAAACATGAACGAAGAAGCTGATGAGACCGCTTTGGTTGGCCCCGTGGATGGGACATTTTGTTTTAAAAAACGGATGGATGGAAGCGTCGATAAGAGCACGGTTGTTTGCAAATTATGCAAAAAGGAATTCGCATATCACCGCAGCACATCAAGCCTCAAGTATCACCTCAATGCAAAACATATAGCAGCTAGCGTGGAAGCTAGCGTGGACGTTAGCCCGACTCCGAGTACAAGGACCCACACCATACTTGCCCTCAGAAATCGGGAGCATTTCAAAATTCAAAATTGGGGGGTGGGGGGGCATGCTAGTGGATCGCCGGAGCTGTTAGATTAACATTAACATGCTTATTGTAGTTGTAAGTGCACTGCCTTGCGGCCTGTAGCACCGTCCTTGATGGAGCATATGTGTGGACTGGACCTGTATTTTACAGGAAAGGAGTGAGCAGAGAGTAGAGTAGTTGTCGATTCTTGTTCTGTTTTCTGTGAATATCTGCCTCACCCTCTCAGACTTTTGAGTTGCGCGCGCTACTAAAGAGACGTGTTACCATGGAAACCAAACAATGGTGTAGCTGTATTAAAGTCCGAGTGGAAACAGTCGTGTGTAAATCTGATTTTGTCAGAAATCGGGAGAAATATGACCCCGGGAGGAAACCGGGAGAGGGCAATGAAATCGGGAGTCTCCCGCAAAAACCGGGAGGGTTGACAAGTATGACCCACACTCAACCAGATGACTGGTTTCAGGGCCAGGATAACTAAGGCCACGTCTGAAAAAATAACCAGCTCACTGGATTGCACTCGACTGTAGACCACTTGGAGTGGTAGAAGATAAGGGGCTGCAACAGGTACTACAGATTGCATCGTTGCATCGTCTGACACAACATATGAGCTGCCATGCAGAAAGACAGTGACAAAAAGAATCCAGCAGCTTTATGACAATGAAAAGGAAGATAAAGAGAATTTATTGGAGAAAGCCGAATGTGTTGCCCTGACTGGGGATCATTGGACCTCGGTAAGCAATTCAAATTACCTCTGTGTGACGGCACACTTTATTGACATCTTCTCACGTCAAATATTTATATGTGATTAAAAATGCGATTAATTTCGATTAATTAATTACAAAACCTCAAATTAGATAAATTTTTTTTAATCGAGTCCCGGCCCTAATTATAATATTCAGCCACTTTTTCACTAGCTGCATATTTCAACATTAATTGATCACTAGATATAATTCAGTAAAATAATAAACAATAATGAAGATGTTCAGTGTTGAATTGTTTTTTTTTTTTTTAAATGTTGCCATTTGGTAAATTAATAATATTTTGATGCTTAAACTGTTGTACCATAAATTATGTAAAAAAAAAGTGCAGGTGTTGGAAGTGTGCTGTTAGGCCTGGACCAGGTCCACTTGGATTTTCTACAGTACACTCTCGTAAGATTTAGTACTTTATAACCCTCAGAATTTGAAAAAAATGTGCAAATACCTGGTCATCTACTAGTGATGTGCTCAAATGTCAAATAACAAAGTTACCTTTGTAGTCTGACAGCTGGATGTCCTTGAACTGTCCATCCACTACAGCTGTGGCTTTGAAGGCAGGGGCAGGCTTGCCAATATGAGCATTTCCAGCTGACATGGTGGTGGAAGATGACTGAGGGAGAAATGGCACTTATTACCAGAACATTCCTGATGTTCATGGGCCGTTGTAGATCAAGTTAAGCTGGCTGGAGCTCATGTGCAGGAGAACAAACATAACACTTAAACTAATGACTCCCTGAGCTTTAACCAGGCAGACATGTTTTGCAGTTCCTTGATAATTGATGCACAAGATCATCCGCTGGTTCAGTAAGAAAACCACGGTAAGTCACATGCAAGTCATGCAACAGTTCAACCCGTGGGGAACAATAGTCCATTAGGAAGCTTACGTAACCATGACAAGCACAAACCAATGGGAGAGTAGTATTGGGATTCAAACGCTTGTAACAAGAGTTTTTTTTTTTTTTTTAAATAAACCTTGCAATTAAAGTGCAGGATTGACTATCTACACATTTCACACAGTACTGAGCCTAAACAGCCCCATGAGGCGTTTACTTTTTAAATGACTGTATGGTATCAGAAACCGGCCTAATTTGACTGTCCATGTCACAATACAACATCGGGTAAAAAGCAAACTATCCTTTGCCGTCTTCAATTTATAGATATGTATCGCGAGTAGCACACATGCATGTTCAAAGTTCAACGCAGTAGGTCAAAGTTTTACAATTTAACGTCAATTGAGGTGTTAGCAACTAATGTGGAACAAAGCGATGAGGTTTTCACCAGTCTCTCCTGCAAGCTAGCCGCAGCACACGGACAAAGAAAGAGCCAGAAACAGGCCCAAATTCTTGAAGGAGGGAAGCCGCATTGCACAGCTAGCTTAACGTTAGCTTCATGAAGTTAGCTGGTTACTTTGTTGTCTCTTTGTTCAATGACAGACAGTTGCTGCTCTTGCGCAGCTTTGCAGACAAAATGTGAACCTCTGACAGGAAAGACCAAGAGACACACACAATATATCTGACTCACCTGTCTGTACGTAAAGCAGAAGAGAAAGCGGCTGAGCGGACGTCTGGTGCTGGCAGGACGAGAGCACTCAAAGGAGGGACGGCGCAGTGCAAGAAATAGGCGGGTCCAGCTGTGGACTCCGGAAGTTAAAATAACTTATTTCAAAGTAAAGGTCGAGATCAGAGTGTGTCATTTCGTGGGCAAGGGAGAGAAATACATTTTATTAGACTGCAATTGGGTGCATTAACTTTAATTAATTAATTAAACTATATTAATATAAGAAAGATATAACTTTGTGTATTGAACTGCATACACTTAAAAGCGGTAAAAGTAACTAAGCAGCCTATACCAGAGAGCAAATAAGTTCTTAGATCCTTACTAACACACTCAAATGTACTACCCCAATTGGCCATTCATATGCAACTAATATAATGGAGGTGTGTTGGTATGGATGTAAAACAGTGGTGTCAGCTGATAAATGTGTGTGTAATATTTAGTTTACAGAAAGTTGCACCTTTTCTCAACTCTCTTTCTCTTTCACTCTCTCTTTCTCTCCCTCTATCATTCACAAACTCATACACACACTCGTGCAAAAATATACCTCATTAAACCTTGTATGTGTGTGAGTGATTGTGTGTAAGTATGAGACAGGAGTAAGTGTGTTCTTGTGCAATTTTGTTTTTCATTTGTGCTGTTTCATGTGTCTTTGAAGTAGACAGATATATGATCTTGAACCAGCTTGAACTTGATGTATTGTATTGAACTTATTTGATAATGTCTCTTTAGCATATTAACAGACACAGCCATACATGCACTCCTCTCGATCAAGTAAATAAAAACACCTAGCTGCAAAGCCAAAGCTATAAATGTGTATTTTTTTCAGATTGAAAAAATATAAAGCCTTATTAGTTGCTTGGCTCTGAGGTCAAAACAGGCTTGTGATATTGTCACTCTCCTTACATTTCAGTTCGATTATTAAACCACCTGGCTTTCTTTTTAGATTGTCACAATTGGAGTAGGCTACATTTGGTAACCTGAAGCAACTTTTGAGCTTTTATTTTGAAAACATACAGCACCGGTAATGTGTGGAGGAGACCAATACTTCCGCTAAGCTTGTCAGTGTCTGGAAAAAAACTGATGTAACGTTACTGAGGCAGTCTGATCAAGCGTTTTGGTAAATTTACTTTGATCTATAATTGAAAAAAACTGTAGTTTTGTTTCCAGTCTAGCGTGTAGGATGTGTTGCTAATCGTTGTTCCGCTAAAGTGACATTTATTTTTTAGATAGCATGCAGCTAATGTTAGCATGTTTCCAGAGCAAAACAATGGATGTTACAGGACCGTCCTAAGTTAGCTCTAACTACATGATGCTTAAGACACAATGCTATAGTTGGTCTATTAAGTGTCGGCCTGAGAGATGTTACAAATGTAATACGAAATAGGGACTTTTCTCTAACAGGGAATAACGTTACAAGTCGCAATACACAGCTTTACATATATTTATTAACGGGCAACACCAAGTTATTGCGAGGTTTTAACCGTGTCACGTTAGAAAACAAAAAAAACAGTTGATGTAGTTAGCATAATTGATAGGTTGCATTCTGTCTTAAAAAAGCAGTATATATTTAACAGTAATTTAAACTGGGTTAACATATTAGATCATCTAATTTCACCTTTTTAACAATTGTAGCTTCATTTTGAGATGGTTGTCAACCTGTGACGTCATGTTGTTGGTTGTCTACTGTTTTATCATCAGCTGTTACTCTTAAATCTAGTCCACATTTATAACAAGTGACAGCAACACTGACAACCACTTACTAAATGGAAAAGAAGGAACCCAAAACTATAAAGCGATGCAAGGGGGGTCACTTTTGTATTGCCCCTGGATGCAACAATAATTTTTATAGAGTCAAAACCCAAGGAAAAATTGTCCACTTTCATGCTATACCATTTAAGCGTGAAGAAGTTCTTCGTCGTTGGGTAGTTGCACTGAAGCGAGAGAGTACTCCAGTTCGTCCTGGAGCTAGGGTTTGTAGCGAGCACTTTGTAGATGAGGACTATGTGAAGGAGAAGGCCTTTCAGTTGGGTGTAAAGGTGGTTCGCCGGACCAATAAACTGAAGTCCGAGGCTGCTCCCTCTGTGTTTGGGGGTGCAGACCATCCAACCCAACCTGCTAGCAATGAAGTAGCTGCGAGCCGTCAGGAACAATCGCAACGATTCGCCCGCCTGGTTGAGCAGAGAGAGGTACTGCCAACAAGTTCAATAACCAGCTTTCTTGCCATGGCACGATAGGAACCTCTATTATCCATTATTACATTACACCCGAATCTCAATTCACTTCACCCCCCCTCCTATTAACGCTCTCATCTGTTAATGTTGTAACATTTTGATTGACAATAGCTATTCTTTTTAGCCTATCAATGTTCATCGCACATCTTCGCCATTAACTTAAAGGTCCAAAGTATAATTTCTGGCCACATGTTCCAAAGATATAGGGGGCAACATTTTACCTCTACTGTTGGATCAATACAATTCAAATTAACCTTCATCACTTGAAAAAGCGAACTAGAAGAAGTGAAGAATATGCACATTGTTTCCAAACTGCTCAAACTCCGAAGCCAATCTTAATAATAACATTGCTTTTCGCGTATGGCATTGGCCATTAAGAAAGCATAGCCTGCTTTTCGTTTTGCTCAGTGTACTTTTTTTCATTGGATTGAATCTCAAGTTGTTGAGATTGTTCTCCATTTATGATTTTGTTTCGTCCTCCCTGTACCTTAAGGATTTCTGTTTGGTTTGCGTTGCCCGAAGTCAAGCTAACTGCTAACTTTAGGTCTGTCTCCTAGAGCTGCCGCCTTCTCTCCTTTTGACGAATTGGCATCCTTGTGGTAGGAAGGACCCCGTACCTTCAACGTGATTGACAGGCCCTCGGGGGAGATCTACTTCTCCGTCATTAATGTTGGAATAAGGACTGACTGCACGCAACTAGGGTTGCTTGATTTGGAAAAATAACTACATGCGACTGATAGCTATGCCGATATGATTCACAATATTGGAGGGGTTTATCATTTGCTCATCAATATTCTCATATCATTGAATAATATAAAACTATGACCATGGTGTGGTTTTTGCATTGTTAAGTTGGAATACAGGGCAGGCCGGTGCTAGTCCCTTAGCCTTTCATTGGATATCTCTGCGAAACAATACATTGATATGATGTCAACAATGTAACCTCTTTACATACTGTTGATCAACTTTTTTTCACTTTTTTTAATTTAAACCTAAATTCTGGGCATATCTTACGCGTTACCTTAAACCTTTCTTTACGGGAGAAGCAATTTGCAATTAACAAATTTCTGAGAGGCCCTTTAAAAATGTGCTTGCCTTGAATACAGCGCACTTGACCAGACTAAACTATTAAACAGTTTGCCATCAACAACACAAGGTAGCATATAGGTCTCTGCATTGCACTCCACATTATTCATATGGACTAAACTGTTACCTATTAAATCCCGGCAGAGTGCTTAATCAGCACAAAGACAAATCAAACATGACATACTAAATGCAAAGGGTTTTCACAGTCGCTTTTTTATTGTATTATTCTGAAATGCAGATCCTTTAAATTGAATGTAAATGAAAGTGCAGTTAGATAATCCTCTTTCATTTATGTTCACAGCATCCACAGAGAATCAACGTTCACATCCTTGAAGAGAGACCCATAACATTATCAGCAGCCATGGATTCACCAGGTAGGAGACGTTGTTTTAAATTAACTACCAATAACTACATCATTTGTCATGCTTCATTGTCACTGCAGGTGCTTGTACATATATTTCAGTGGTCATCATTATGATTAGACTTTGATTGTAATATCATTTACATTTTAATCTTGATCATTATTTTTTTTTAAACAGAACTCATGTCCTAAAAACAAAATTAAACAATGCAAGCAAACATTGACAATTGTATTCAATTTCATAAAGGTTAATTAAAGGTTTTCAAGTCAAGGCAATATCTGAATTGGCTCATTACAACCCTATCCACAACCCTAATCCTGTGGTTCCGGTCGGCCGCCCCATCATCAGCGACTGTGGTTCAGAATCCTACAACATAACAGAATATATAGATAATTTTATTAATCCCCTTTCCAAACTCCATCCCAGTTACCTTCGAGATACTTATGACTTTGTTAACAAAATAAAAAACCTCACAGTACCCAGCAATACCCTCATTTTTTCGATAGATATAGTTTCACTGTACACAAATATTGAAACCCCACTTGGCCTCGCCACCATCCAGAACTCCTTCAATAAAAACCCAGACCCATCCAGACCCGACAGTCAAATCATTCAGTTGCTCCACCTCACCCTCACCAGAAATGACTTCATTTTTAACAATAACCACTACCTCCAGCTGTGTGGTTGTGCGATGGGCCGGAAATATGCTCCAGCCTACGCAGACATTTACCTGGCCCATTGGGAGGAAACGGCCTTCACTAAACTCCCCCTCAAACCCCTTCTGTACTTCCGGTATTTGGATGACATCTTCGGCCTCTGGCACCAAATTGAACAGGACTTCCTCACATTCTTAGACATCCTCAACACACATCACCCTAAAATAAAACTCAAACATCAGTTAAATACACATACCGTAGAGTTCCTCGACACTGGGGTCTTCTTCCGCAGCTCCGGCGACCTTAGCAAGACACTCACCACCAGGGTCTTCTTCAAAGATACAGATCGCCACGCACTCCTCCATAAAACCAGCTATCACCCTGGGCACACGTACAGAGCTCTGATTAAATCCCAGCTGATCCGTTTCCACAGGATATGCACCCTCGCGGAGGATGTGGAGGAGGCTACCAGAATCCTCTTTAGTGCGCTGAGACCTAGGGGCTATTCGAGGCACTTCCTTAGAAGCATCAAGGCGGAGGTCAGCCGCACCTTCATAGACAGGTACAAAGACATCTCCGCCCGGCCGTCCGGCCCTACCCTCGTCCCCCTCATCACAACCTATTCAGGGAGCCTAAGCAACCTCTTGGGCAAACTGAAGGCCAATTTTGAGGGGGCTAGGGGGGACTGTGACGCGCTGCGGCCGTGCCGGCTGATCTCCGCCTACCGGAGGAAC